GAAGAGGAGGGCCCACGACAGGGACGGGGGAACGGTGGCGGCGACACCGACGACGACGACGTCGACGACGACTGAAACGGAAAAGCCTTTCACACTCTCCGACAGGGTCGGCTGATTTGATATTCTGGCTCTGGTTGGCACTGCGTGCGTAGTATTTGTTGGCGGCCACTCTCCAATGTTACTCATCGTTGAACTTCTGAATCTCGCCAGCGGAGTCCGCGTTTCAGTCTGCTTCGACATTGAAGTGGGCGATATTGAGGGGGCGACAAGAAGCGACGTCGAAGGGGCGCGTCAACAACGTTTGAGGTTAATTTTGTCGATGGTTGTAGGCCCGTCGGGTTGACGCGTGAAAGCGGTGTCGGCACGGGCGTGTGCCAGGTCAAGGGCCTCTGCACCTGGCCCGGGGTGCGCCTCGAAATCCTGGCCAGGACGTGCCCTTGGAGAGAGGTCCGTGGCGCAGCGGCACGGGCAGCTTCCTCTTCCCCCCTCCCTCGGCCCTGCGCCTGCCCCCTGCTCCTGCCGCCACACCAAGCGGGCTCCGCGGCTCCGCTCGCAGCACGCATCAGGGCGTGCGCTGACATCGCCCCCCGCGCGCCCCCCGCGCGCCCCCCCGCCGCACCCGCCTCCGCCAGCGTGGGGTCGCAGCACCGTGCGAGCGGACCGAGGTCCACCGTCGCCGCCGCCGCCGTGGCCCCCGCGGTCGAGTCGGTGGCGGTCGTGGTCGTGATCGTGGTCGCTGTTGTGGTCGTGGTGCTTTGCAGGGGTCCCGAAGGCGCTGTCTTGGTATCGCTTGGACGTGCGCTCTGTGTGCCATTTTTTGTGGCCAGGCCAGCGCCGGAACATCTGAACTATCTTGGAGCATGTTGGATCATCCAGCGGAAGCCAAAGACACACGCACTACACCGAACAGCTGACGGCGAATGGATTTCCGAGCGATGGCAGGTTGTCGTGGCCGTGGTGGTCGCTGTCGTCCACGGGCCCCAGGTGACCCGCTGGCGGGCCAGGTGCGGAGGGCCTGCGCGCTGGAGAGCCTCAGCATGGCCGCCCTGTCCTGGGTGTCCTCGGGGACCATGCAGGAGCCGCGCCGCGCGAGGCGGGCGGGCGAGGGAAGTGCGGGGGGATTGTATGGTGGTGATGATGATGCTGATGTTGGTGGTGATGATGATGATGATGATGATGATGATGATGATGATGATGATGTTGGTGCTCATGATGATGACGATGGCGATGACGATGATGATGGTGGTGGTGGTGGTGGTGGCGATGGTGATGCTGATGCTGATGATGGTGATGCTGATGATGCTGATGATGATGATGATGATGATGATGATTGTGATGACGGTTGTGATGATGATGCTGATGCTGATGCTGATGCTGGTGCTGCTGATGAATGGTGGTGGTGGTCCAGGTGGTAGTGATGATGCTGCTGATGATGATGACGATGATGATTATGATGATGACGACGGTGATGATGATGAGTATGCCGAATGTAACGATGATGATCATGATGTCGATGGTGACGAGAAGTGAGACTATGATGATGGTGGCAATGCATGATCGTGAGCAGGTCGACAATGACGACGACGAATATGTTCACGGTACGATGCTCATGCCGATGCTGACGATGATGACGATGGGGACGACGACGACGATGAGTAAGATGCTGATGTCGATGATGATGACAACGATGCTGCTGCTGCTGCTGATGATGATGATGATGATGATGAGGATGATGCTGACGACGACGACAACGACGACGACACTGATGATGATGATGATGATGATGATGATGATGATGATGCTGATGATGATGATGATGATGATGATGATGATGATGATGATGATGATGATGATGATGATGATGTAGATGATGATTATGATCATTCTGAGGCTTCCACTGCGTCCAAGACGGCCCAAGAGGCACCCAAGACGGTCGAGGATGCCCCCAAGAGGGCTCCAAGACGGCCCACGAAACGCCATGTCTGGAACGGTGTTCATGGGAATCCGTGAAACTCTTGCAAATTGAAAGAACGAATGTTCGCGTCGCTAAGGCGAGAGTCACATTTTGAAAAAGGAACCGCCCTCAATCCTTGAAATTCTTATCATTTTCAAACGAATGTGCGTAGCGCGAAGGCGAGAGCCACATTTTGAAAACGACCCGCCCTCAATCCGTGAAACTGTTGCACATTTGTAAAACGAATGTACGCGGAGCTAAGGCGAGAACCACATTTTGAAAAAACGCCTTCAATCCGCGAATATCTTGCAAATGTTGAGAACGAATGTGCGCGGCGCTAAGGCGAGAGCAACATTTTGAAAATCACCCGCCCTCAATCCGTGAAGCTCTTGCAAATGTTTAAAACGGATGTGTGCGGCGCTGAGGCGAGAGCCACACTTTAAGAACGATTCGCCCTCCATCTGTGAAACTGCTCCGACTTTTTAAGCTCCAGGGTCAGAAATGGTGAGGAACTCTCAGGCGAAACGCCCGTCCCGCCCTAAAAACTGGCCTCGGGGTGCGACAGGGGGAAGTTGTTTATCAGGAATGGAGGAGGGGGAGGGGGCGACGACAGAGGGGCTCGGTAGCACGAGGGCGAGGAGGGGAGGGTGGCAGGGGGGAGGCGCTCAGGAGTGCAGTATCTGGAACATCTGGGCAGCCGCATGGCCTTGGACTGTTCCTTTCGGTGTCCCTGCTCATCTCCTCGGCCGGCATCGGCGTGTCCTGCGCGCGGGGAGTTGCGCGCCTGGACTCGCCGGCGGCCCCACACCCGCCCTCGCCTCTTGCGGCCCCCAGGACGTTTCCATGCCAATGCGGCTGAAGCTCCGCAGTCTGACTCACCACCTCCACGCGAACTGCCTGGCGCTCCTGGACCTTGTGCGGCAACGATGGGACAGAGAGGGTGGCGGACCTAGCGCTGGTACGAAAGGATACGTAGGAGGAGGAGGAGGAGGAGGAGGAGGAGGAGGAGGAGGAGGAGGAGGAGAGGAGGAGGAGGAGGAGGCGGGAGGAGGAGGGAGGAGGGAGGAGGAGGAGAGGAGGAGGAGGAGGAGGAGGAGGAGGGGGAGCCTTGGCTGGCCCTTACCTTTCTGCGCCATAGCGTCGAGCCAGATCGATCCCCACGGCCTCCAGAGCACCACTTACGAGGCCCAGAAGGTCCCAGGGGCTTCAACACTGAGCGAAAAGCTGGGGGCACCCCAGGCCAGGGGCACCTCTGGCAACCCCCGGGGAACTGGGCGAACATGCTCGTGGTGAAGCAATCGAGGCTCCAGGAGCTCGGGGGGAGGCAGAGGACCTCCTGCAGGCCCCTGGAGGCCTGCAGGGGCCCGGAGGAGGGAGGAGGAGGAGGGAGGGAGGGAGGGAGGGAGGAGGGAGGGAGGGGAGGGAGGGAGGAGGGAGGAGGGGGAGGAGGAGGAGGAGGAGGAGGAGGAGGAGGAGGAGGAGGAGGAGGAGGAGGACGAGGAGGAGGACGAGGAGGAGGAGGAGAAGGACCTCCTGCAGGTCCCTGGAGGCCTGCAGGGGCCCAGGGCCAGGAGGGAGGTCTCGAGCACATCCCGAGCGGCGGCTGGGGGGCGCGCGCGCCGCGGGGAGGGTCGCTGCGCGCCGCCTTGTGTGCTCCTCCCCCCGTGGGGCGCGGCCGCCGAGGCAGAGAGCGGGGAGGCGGGTCGGAGAGGCTGCACTGCCCGAGCAGCATCGACTTCAAGATCCTCGAGGGGGAGGAGGGGGCATGGGGGATAGAGGAGGAAAAGGTACTCATACCTCTACCTTTTCCTCGTTTTCCCTTTGTTGGGCCTCGTGGAAGGCCCTCGCCGCCACCGCTAGATTCGCTTCGAAATTCTGGTCAGAACGCACCCCGGGAGAGATCCGTGGAGTAGCAGTATCGGTACCTTTTGGTTTCCCCAGGACAGGGGGTCTCCCCCCTGGACATCAGTCTTCCCCCGCCCCTCGATTCCCTCGTTCTCTCTCTGGTGATCCAGGGGGCGATGATGCAGCAACGACGTCCTCTTCAGGAGGGTCGGTGTCGGACCGTCCTTTGTGTTGTCGCTCCGCCGTCAAGCTGTTCGGACAATGGAAACGAAAAGGTCGGTGCTTGGAGCCCCGGCTGGGGGTTTGAGGTGGCCCAGCACTGGTTCCGAACAGCAGGAGGGGGGGGCGAGGTTCGAGGTTCGAGGTTCGGGAAGGTTTTTGTCTCTTTCGGTCTCCGGTGCCGTCTTCGGGCCCCGGGACAGTAACAACAACGGATCCGGGGTGAAAAGGTGCACCAGATGGAGCCCGCGAGGGGTCTCCTGGGACCGATTTTGAGTGGATTTGCTACCATCCCCCTTGCTTGACAGTTTTTTCGCAGGGCCCATCCAGTTCAGACCCAACGGCCGCCTCCAAATCGAAGCGATCGAAGTGGGTATGGAAAGAATGCGACAAAAGGCCGACAGCAGTTCCTTTCCATTTTGAACAGGGATTCGCTGTCGGCGTCGCCGCGGACGTTGCTCATTTGAGACATCGCCGCCTGCCCAACAGCGGCCGCTGTCGAGCTGGACAGCAGTCGCTGGGAGGGGTTACGGGAGGGTTCCGAGAGGGGTCACGGGAGGGTTTCGGCATCCTTTGTGCTGTCTGGGCCTCCTGCGGCGCCCTCGCGAACGTCACGGTCTGGCGCGACTCGAGAGGGCGGTCGGGGTGGTGTCCTGGATGGGCTCGGGGGGAGTCAGGCGAGACCCCTTTCGGCAAAGCATCTGCCCTCCATCTTTCGACAACCTTTTTTGCATGTCATCTCAGGAAGCCTACGAAGCATCGGTACCCTATTGGGGGAAGAAGCGTGCGACGGGAGGTGCTTGAAACAGGCGCCAAAAACAGCCAAGATCTATTCCATGGGGGGGAGGGGGAGGGTGCGAGGGCCCGCGCCGAGCGGCAAGACAAGGAACAATAAAACGATCACCTTTTAGAAGTGAGCTCGAGCCGTGCGCATGCGACAACCTCCAGGCACTGAAACAACACAAACGTGCCACGACGCAATGCACAAGCGGCACCTGCACCCTATTGTTTGAAGTGCCTGCGCCGCGGGATGCCCCCCAGAGCGCGCGGCCCACGGTGGCCTGCGCCTGGCACCCTCTCTCTGGGATGCCCCATAGAGTGCGCGGCCCAAAGCGGCCTGCGCCTGGCGCCCTCTCTTTGGGAAGGCCATTTGGGGCTTGTCCTCAGCAGGCCTCCCCCAGTTGGCCTTGAGGGCCCCGACACGTCACTTCACTTCACCGTTGTAAGCAGTCGCAGTAAGCAGAGGTCTGGAGCCAGACCCCCCCTCCCCTACCCCCCCCTCCGCCCAATGCCGAAACGCCGAATAAGAGAACGTTCACGAGCTGCAGCGCAAGGCGCAATTTGATCGACTCATGCAGCAACAAGGTTCAGCTTATAGCTGTTATTGTGGGCCAGTAGCAGGCATTTCGATGCTCTAGAAAGGTGTTATGTGCAACTCTGGCTGTTACTAGTGCGTGGAAGCTGTATGGCTTGCCAACTCAACAGTTCGAGATAACATCGACCACATTCTGCTGAGGGTGCAGCTTTGACGACCAATGCATCGCCACTGTAACAGCTTTCGCTACGTAGCACATGTTATGAGCTGGTATCAGGGCTCTCGGTGCTCCAGAAAGAGGCGGCGCCCACGTGTGCATTGACTTCAGTGCCCTTGAACCATGCAGCTGGCCCGCAGGCCGACTTACTATTGAACAATCTCCATCGTGCCAAAATTTGTCTCAAGGTGGGTTGACTCGGGGAAGTGAAGCGACATTCAAACTCATGCTAATATCGAACATCGCGCAATCGTCTCACCGTGTGCTATGACGATATGACTCATCAGAAGAAGTACAGTCACGGCAACTGATCTAAGGACCACTTTGCGTTCAGGAGGCGCTTTGGTTTTCGGGCCGTTCCTCACGTCCAAGTCGGTGAGCCTCTTCGTGGCCGAGGCTCGCCGTGGCCAGGAAAAACAACCCGTCGTTCCTCGTTCAGCATTCCGTGTGGTAGCGCGATGGCTGTACTCAGATACGAAAGCATGGTCGAAACGCCGGCCCCGAGTCACACCACCATGCCCATTCGCAGCGGGCGGCCGTGCCCATGCGCCCGAATTCCCCTTACCCAGCTCCTTCATGGAGTGAGCCCCAGGATCCCTGCGAGGTACAGCCCCGCTGGAGTCCGCCCTGAACGCCTAGATCCTCCAGGACCCATCAGATACTCCCCCTCTGGAGCTCCTTTGGATCTCTGAGGACTGCCGAGTGCCTCCCCCCATCCGTCCGAACCCCCCCCTATCCTCCTCCTCCTCCTCCTCCTCCTCCTCCTCCTCCTTCTCCTTTCTCTTCCTCCTTCCGCACCCCCCCCTACTTCCGCCCCCCCCTCCTCCTCCTCCTCTTCCTCCTCTTCCTCCTCCCTCCTCCTCCTCCTCCTCCTCCTCCTCCTCCTCCTCCTCCCCCATCCTTCCGCCCCCCCCTTTGGAAGCTTTCTGGAACTACTCTGAAGCAACCACCGCTAAAACTTCCTTGAACATCCTCCCTCCCTCCCGTGACGCCTTGACGCTGCGAGCAGGTTTGTCCCCAGGGCTGGTTCCCTTATCCCTTTCTCCCTCCTCGTCCTCCTCCTTCTCCGTCCCTCCCGCCTGCTCCTCCTTCCTCCCTCCCTCCCTCCCCTTCTCGTCCCTTCCGCTCGGCGTCCATGTCCTCGGACTCCTATGGCAGGTGGAGCATGCGCCAGACTGTCGGGACCCAACGCGCCCCGCACCTCCTGGGCGACCAAAAAGGATATTGTGCCCGCAGGTCCGCCAGCGCTCGCCCCCCGAGGCACCAACCAAGCAACCTGCCTCCCTCCCCTCCCCTCCACAATTACACAATATGAAAATACTCTCCCACTTCCCCTGATGGCGTCCGGAAGATATTCGGCACCCCCCCGCGTACTGTTTTTTTACACACAGGATTCCCCGGAGTTGGGTTTTCGCTTGTGTTTTTTTCAAAAATGCTGCTCTCGCTGAGGCGCCGGCCTCATTTCTGCTCCCGAATCGTTCCGAATCGTGCTCCCGCTGCAGCGTGGGCCTCATTTTCGGATCGGTGTTTGGCCTCCGTCGTTCAGGATGGCGTTCTCGCCCCAGCGCGGGCCTCTTTCTCGCGCGCCCATCCGCCCGCCACCACCGCGCCGCACCACCACCACACACCACCACCACCACCACCACCACCAGCACCAGCACCAGCACCAGCACACACCAGCACCAGCACCAGCAGCACCAGCACCAGCACCAGCACCAGCCCAGCACCCAGCACCAGCACCACCAGCACCAGCACACACCACCACCAACCACCACCACCACCACCACCACCACCACCCACCACCACCACCACCACCACCACCACAACCACGCACACACGCACGCACGCACGCACGTGCACCACCACCCACTACGCACGCGCGCGCGGAGCCACAGGTCCGCTACGACACGCGTCCGCGGATAGAGAAAATCAGCGCCATGGTAAGGGATGGGAGGGAGGGGTAGGACGTCAGATATGACGCGAGCGCACCTAGCTTGCCTACCTCCCCTCCCTCCCCTCCCCTACCTCCCCTCCCTGCTTCCTCCTCCTTTCGCTCTCTCTTCCCTCCCCTCCCCTCCCCTATCCTCCCCTCTCCTCCCCTCCCCCTCCAGCCCTCCAGGAGACCGCCTTCCCTCTCTTCCCTCCCCTTCCCCCTCCCCCCGCTTCTCTCCGCCCCTCCGCCTCGCGGCGGAGGCGCGCCCAGGGCCCGCTGCTGCAGCGGGGCGGCACCGACGGCGCCTCCCGACGGCCGCGACGGCGGCCACGGCGAATCCGACGACGACGCCGACGACGACGCCGACGACGCTGGCGCCGACGGCAGTGACGACGGCGACGACGAAGACGACGCCGACGATGCCGGCGCCTGCGGCGACGACGGCGGCTGTGGGAGGCTGGCCGCTACACGTCGCTCCGGGACGGGGACCACGGCCCAGCGCTGGCGAAGAACAGCGAGGCTCCGCTATCGGGCGTCGTCGTCATCTTGGTCGTCGTCGTCGTCGTCGTCGTCGTCGTCGTCGTCGCCGCCGTCCTTGGCGTTGTCGTCATTCGGGTAGTCATTTGAAGATTTTGTGCGTTTTGGATGTGGTTGTGGTGGTCATCGCTCTCCTCCCTCCTCCTCTTCCTCCTCCTCCTCCTCTTCTTCCTCCTCCTCACTCCTCCTCGTCGTCCTCCTCCTCCTCACCTCCTCCTCAACCGCGTCCTCCTCTTGCTTCGCCTTTGTGATCGCTGTTCCTGCTGCTGCTGCTGCTGATCCTCCTGCCTTTTTTTCCCAGCCTTTCTCCTCCCCGCTTCTCCCCCCTCATGTATGCTCTAAAGGATTTCGAATCATTTCATAGATTCTTCCAAGAACACGCTACAACCTCCTAAACCTTCTCACCCGCCCCCTATCCTTCCTTATTATCGACCCTATCCTCATTCTTTTCTACACAGGCGCCTGAAACATTTTGCATCTCCAACAATATCATAGAGATCGTCAGAACCTCTGACAACCTTTTAGAGACACGCCAAACTTCCGGCAACCTGCTCCCCCTCCTCATTATTATACTCCTCTTCCCCTCTTCCTCTTTCTACCCTGCCCCCCTCACCCTGCCCCGCCCTCGATCTTCCCGTCCTCCTGCTCATTTTCGTCGTCATCGTCGTCGTCGTCGTCCTCCTCCTCCTTCTCCTCCTCCTCCTCCTGTTCCTCCTCCTCCTCCTCCTCCTCCTCCTCCTCCTCCTCCTCCATCTCCCCCTCCTCCTCCTCCCCCTCCTCCTCCTCCTCCTCCTCCTCCTCCTCCTCCTCCTCCTCCTCCTCCTCAAGGCTGGGCACACTCGTATTGGCCTCCACTCCTGCTCCAGTTTTGCCTTTGCACCCCCGTGCCTTCTGCTCGTGGCCGCCACCAGGGCCGCCTCCCCGATCGCTGATGCTCGCGGCCGGGCGCCGCGCCTGGCCGCCCGTGGGGCCTGCGGGCCGCGCGCTCAGGGCCGGTTCCCCTGCGGGAGCGTCGCCGTCTCCAGCACCTGGACTTCTGCTTAAGTCGGGCACGTCCCTCCGCGGGAGGAATATCCACAAATAGTCAAACGATCGTCAGAGGACGAATTTTTTGTTTGAGCATACTTCCTGCTATTTTGAGCATTGTTATACACTGTGTAAGTTTCTTCCAAAATCCGCCTGGAGGAGAACACGCCCGACCTAAGCTTATATTATGATGTTCCAGCCTAGACTTCAGCCTTGAGCACCAGAGAGAATCTCGAGCACCAGGGTGCCAGGGAGGTACCGAAACTGGAGGGTTGACACGCGTCGGGCCCTGGGGGGCGATGCTCGCTCGACGCTTCGCTAGCGTGTCGGGCACGACCTGAACAGGAGCACGCGTTGCACCCGCTGCAATTCAGGCTTACAGCGTGCACGCGGTATGTTTGAGATTGAAAAAAGAGGCTTGCGCTTGGCTATCTCTCATGTTACCATGTCCGCCATGTCTTCCACCTTTCACCCCTAACACCCGCAACTCCAGTCTTTCCTCATCCTCCTTCTGTTCCTCCTGCTCATGCTCCTTCTCGCCGGCCACCTCGTCGTCGTCGCCGTCGTCCTCCTCGTCCCATGTACGCAGCTCCCCTTTCCGGTTGCGCATATCACGATGGGGTCTTTTTGGAAGTTCCAGGTCGGGTATGACACGCGTCCGTGGATAGAGAGACAGATCAGTGCAATGGGAAGGGATAGGAGGGAGGGATGGGATGTCAGATCTGGCGCGAGCGCACGTAGCTTGCCTCAACTTCCTCTTCCCTCCCCTCCCTTTCTCCCCCCCTGTTCGGTCGTGCGAATCAAGACGTTTCCTCCTCCTCGCTCGGCCTTGCTACGCTGTGGTTCGTGTTTCGCGCAGTGGCGCCGAGTCTTCAGGAAGGTTTCGGGTCGTCTGGTTTGGTGTTGCCCCAGCCTGACCTCCGAACGTTCAGGGGCCACATTTTCATGGATGGGAGCTGTTACCATGCTGAGATCAAAAAGTCCTCGAGGGCTGGTTGGGCCTTTGTGGTGGTCTCGTATCGGGGTCACATGCTGACGCGTGTGTGCCGGCTTGTCGGGGCCCTGACGGGGTTGGGCGCTGCGTCGAGGGAGGTTCCCTCCGGTGACGCTTGGCCCTAGCCAGCGGTCGGTCGAAACTGCAGGGCCCGTGCTGGCGGAGCCATGCGGCCAGGACCGGCAGCTCCCTGCGTGCTTGAAGCATGGGGATGGTCAGACGTACGACCTTCACGCGGATTCAGAGAGCTCCGCTTGACCATCAGACGACGGGTGAACCAATCGGGTCTTCGACACAGGTCCTCCTCGAGGGAGGGTCGAAGGCGGTTGCTGGAAAAACACGCCTTCCACTCCCTCCTCCCTCTTATGTCTCAGGCCGAGTCGTCCTTCTGGAACAAGTTTTCGGGCTTTCCCGATGCCATCGACTCGGATGACTCGGACATCGCCCGCGAGATGCGGTGGTTCGAGGGTTCGTCTCCGTCGCTGGCCTTTCCTCCTCCTGGCGTGCAAGCGGCTTCGCGCCTTACACGCCCCCGGCACTGATCGCATCATGGGATCGTTTCGCGGGCTCCCACGTTCCACGTCCCACGTTCCCTCCTTTTCCTTCCTTTTCCGTTCCCCGGCCGCCACCGTGTCAATGTTGAGCTGCACTGTCAATGCCTCGCTCTCCTGGGGCTTTGCTGTGTTCTTGCTCGTCAGCATGTGTCACCTGTGCGGAGCTACACTGTCAATGCCGCGCTTTCCTGTGGCTTTTCTGTGTTCCTGCTCGCAACGCCCATCGCCAGAGGCGGCGGAGAGCTTGAGAGATCCGTCCACAGTAAGTGCCTCCCTCCTTCGCAGGCGATCACGGGGCTGCTGCAGCCCCTCGCGGCGGGCGGCGCGGGCGACGTGCTCCGCGCCGTGCGCGACAGGCGCCGCCTGTGCGGCTCGCGCCCCGCCGCCGGCCGCTGCTCGAGGGTCCGGTGGTCCGAGGAGCGGAGCCCGAGGATCCGAGGACCCGAGGGTCGACGCCGCCGCACGAGGATCCGAGGATCCGAGGATCGAGGTTCGAAGCTCGAGGATCCGAGGATCGAGGTTCGATGCGAGGACGACGACGGTGTCCTCGTCTCTGCGGTTTCTGGGCGTTCCTGGAGGGTCTCGCCGCCACGGCCAGGCGAGGCTCGGAACACTGGTCAGGAAAGACAATCTGGAGGAGGATAGGGACAGTATGTGATCGAGGATCTGAGGTTCGAAGCTCGAGGCTCGAGGTTCGAGGCTGGACGTTCGCTCCTCGGTCTCGGCCCCTCGGAGCCAGGCTCGGGCGGCGTGAGCAATTGGCCGGGGTTGGCCTCGTACGCGTGAAGAGGTGAGGAGGATGGAGAGGAGGAGCAGGAGGAGCAGGAAGGGAACAACACACTAAGAATAGTAGCACGCGTTGCTATACGAACCGTCAACAATTATCAATCATACACTACGAATGATACCATTGATGCGACTAGTAGCGGTAATACTATGCATATCAATGTTTTGGTTAACAAGCTCATGCTATGATTGCGAGTACAAATAAGGCATACGAATCTAGGCAATACTATTAAACGAATGCGATATTATGGCTAGTAACAAAAGGGGAGGATGAGGATAATGATGAGGATGAGGATGATGATGATCATGATGATGCTGCCGATGATGATGACGATTATGATAATGATGATGATGATGATGATGATGATGATGATGATGATGATGATGATGATGAGGAGGAGGAGGAGGAGGAGAAGGAAGAGGAGGATGATGATGACGATGACGAGGCTGCTCCTGCTGATGATGATGCTGATGATGATGATGATGATGACGACGATGATGATGATGATGATGATGATGATGATGATGATGATGATGATGATGATGATGATGATGATGATGATGATGATGATGATGCTGATGCTGATGCTAATGCTGCTGCTGCTGCTGCTGCTGATGATGATGATGATGATGATGATGATGATGATGATGATGAGGAGGAGGAGGAGGAGGAGGAGGAAAAAGAGGGGAAGTATGATGATGATGAGGAGGAAGAGGAGGAGTAGGAGGAGGATGAGGGGGAGGAAGACGGGGGACCGCCGCCGCCGCCGCGTCGATGACATCCGAGCGTCGTCTTCAAATCACGCGGGGCGTTCTTGCTTCGTCCCGGACCCGGGGCCCAGGAGACCTTCCACGGATCGATCGGATTTTTCGCCACACACATTTCGAAGGAGCACCTCTCACATGCGCTTCGGCTTCGGCAGAGGGGGCTCGTAGGCCCCCCCTTCGGGCAAGCTGGGGAGGGGGCGTTACGAATTCCCCCCCCCCGCCCCCCCCTCAGGTGGGAGGGGAGGTTCCGGACCCCCCCCGTCTCGCGCTGGCAAACGACGGCGGCGCCCCACCTGTGCCTCCCGCCCGCCCGCCCCGCCCGCACGCCCCGCCCGCCCGCGTCCCGGCGGCCCGTCCGACCCCCCCCATTTCCTTCGTGTCCCGTCCGACCGTGTGGTTGCCAGGCCCACGTCAGCCTCTCCTTCTCCTGCGCCTCTCTCTGAACTCCCTTGTGCGTCGCTATATGGGCTCGCAAGGGCCCTTGAGTCATATCGGCGCGCATGCGCTGGGCGCGCCATGGCCCCCATAAAAGGAAAGAGAACGTGCTCTCTCACAACACGGTTTCCCCCAATGGTATTTCGTTCGTTTCTTTCTGTATTCTATGCCGTTGCTCCCGCTCGTTCCACAGTGGCAGCGGAGCCTGTGGTGAGATCCACGAGGAGAGTCAGGACGACTCCCCTGTCATTCGATTCTCGGACGACGTACTCTTTACTCTTATTCCTTCCTTCCCGCTCCCTACCCTGTTGCACCGAGCGCCGCCATGGATTCTCCAGACGACGCTGAGGCTCAAGGATATGAACTTCCAGAATATCTTTGGTTACAACCATAGCAGGTTCCGCGGGCAGGAGCCAGAGGACGAGAAGACGTTTTTCGGGAAGGTGATGACGACGTGGGTTCGTCAGATCAGGACTGGGCCCGCTGGTTCTCACAGCCTTGGGCGGAGACAACCCAATACGCAACTATCCTCATCAGGTTGGACTGCGCAGGGCCATGGTTCACCGGCTGCACCAGATCGGCAGAAGACGCCTCTGCGAGGACAGGCGATGCCTTTTAGTTTTCGCTCCGACATAATGGGGAGGTACCATTGCCGAATCTTATGATCGCCAGAGGGGGCAATTTCCTGAACAGTCGGAGGCCCAAAAGATACCAGACGACTTGCCTCCCACCTGGGATGGAAAAGGTCCTTATCGTCTTTTAGAGCCTTTTATGAAGGAGCTGCAAATGTGGCTCGCTACTACCACAACTCTGAAATCACAACGCGGATACCTCATCTACCGCTATGCCAAAGACGCCCTCGATATCATCATTAACGAAGTCACCGAGGACCAGTTGTCTTCAGAAGACGGCGGGCAGGTCGTGTTCAAACATATTAAGAAGGCTTTTGCCGTATGCCAAGGCCGCAGGATGCCGAAGGCTTTTGAACAACTTTTCTATTCAGATGACGCCAAGCGTAAGCGAGACGAGCCCCTGGTCAACTATATTGCGCGTAGGCGCGTGCTTTTCCGTGAAATCGAGAAGCGCATGACCTTGCCAGAAGACTTGAAAAGGGTGCGTTCTCCCTAGAGAATCCAAACTAAACGGCGCTGCTTGGGATGCGGTTGAGCACTGGACGGATGGATCCTGCGACTTTGATATGGTGTGCGATAAGCTTCGGGAGCTTGAACGACCGCTACATCCTGGCAGAGGCGGCCATCGTATTCATTGCATGAGTTCCTCCTCGCATTTTGTCGGATATCATGGAGATGGCGACTGATGCGAGGGCCAGGGGCCGGATCGCGACGACTTTCAATGGGTTCTCATGGAACAGTCTTTGTTTATCTTGCCCGAGTCCCATGAGGAAGACGAGATCTTGACTGAGGCTCTAAAATAGGTGGAAGACGACGAAAACGCACTCTTCGTAGCAGGGGACATGCCCGACGACGTGGTTCTAGCGGAGGACGAGGCCGTCGCCGTCCACGCTCACTGCAGTCAGGTACGACAGTACTTGCACAAACGGAAGCTTGGACGAAGCTTTTTCAAACAGCCCCCCCATAAAGGGCGCTCGAAAGGGAAAGCGTCGAGGGAAACGGACTGGACATGTCCGACCGATGTGGTGGACCAAAAGTACGTTGATGAGTGATGAGTCGCTCGAAATGTGCCCGATGCGGGAAGATGGGGCATTGGGCTCGGGACTGTGCGAACGAGCCAGACGAGCGAGGACGCAAGCGACAAGCAGGCATCGGCGGCTTCCAAGCAGTTCCCCTTGAAGCAGATCATGCTCTGCGCGACGATTGCCAACGAGGACCTACGATCTTGTCAGGCGTCAGTTCTTTTATTTTTCCAATCTCTATTGCAGCCGACACTGGAGATCAGGTTTTGATTGGACTTCAGGTTCAGATGGTTTCGGTTCGGTGGATGCTGGAGCTCAGCATGGAGTATGTTGTAAAGATCAGTTCGAGGAGCTGGTGAACTGTCTAGGATATACCAACGGTCTGATGCTCGCGCAGATACCTACTCTGGAAATGGACGCCATGGGCGTTGGAGGATCTACCAAGCTTCTCTCGCGCTGGACCTTGCCTGTTGCTGTGGCCTAGAATTGCGGTGCTCTTGCGGTGCATTTGATTCCGGGCAGAGCCGGGTGAAATTCCGTGCCCGCTGGTGAGTGACTGATTGGCTGACTGACTGATTGACTGAACGTGGCACGTCTGGCAGCGCATCTCAAACCGCCCGCGGGAGCACGCAACCGCGGCCGGAGCAGGCGTGCTTTCAAGGATATCCCGAAAGCGCAGTATACGTTCAAGTCCCTATTGGTTCACGGAACTCTGCAAGTCACAATGCTTAGCACACTTCGCTGCGCCATTCGTCGTTGTTCGAGCCGAGACATCCGTCGCTGAAAGTTGCAAGTAAATGTGAGAGCGGAGACCGCTCAGGATAGAATTCAAACGCGCAGAAGATCAGGAAGACACCCGACAGCAAGGACAGGCGCAGAGGACGGTCTGAGCCTGGCTTGCTGCCCTTGAGTCTCTGCTAGGTGGTTCCGCTGGTTGCTTGTCGTCGTGGCGCTTGTTGCACTGCCGGGTCCGGATCCGCCTCGCGTCGTCGGGCAGCGGCGCGTAGATCTCGTCGCCTGCGAGCAGCGCCTTGCCCAGTTCATCCCCGACTAGCTGGTTGGCGTCGAGGTCCCACGTAAGGCGCCGCACCACTTCTAGCAGCTCCGGCCCGTCAGGGCCTGTCCTTGGTACGTCGTGACATTGTCGTCCGCGCGCTCCCAGCGCTCGAACCCGCCCTTCGGGTCGATGTCGATGTCCGCCTCCTCGGTGTCAGTCGGACGTAGCACCTTCGGCGGGGGCTGCTTCCCCACCATCCTTCCCTTTGCGGTGTAGACGGGCTTGGCGTCGGTGATGTTGACGTCGCCTCCGGCCCACGGGCGACGTGCTGACCAATCTGGCTGCTTCATGGTGGCGCTGGCCCACTTCTTGCACATCATCTTGGGATGGGCTGCTGTGAACTCCGTCACCATCCCCTGGATCTCTTCGTGGTAGTGATTGTGCAAGCTGCCCTTCTTGTTCGAGCAAGTGTGACCGACCGTTACGTTGAAGTGAGGGTCTGACGTAGCAGACAGCCATTCCTTCTTGATCAGCTCTCCTGTCTTGGGATATCGTAGCCCGTGCGCGCAGCCATCCACCCGCACAGTACAGAGCTGCTCTCGAAGCTTCCTGAGACACGGCAAGCTCCAGGTGCCGCACCTCAGTCAGCGGTTGCTCGAAATCCACTTCCAAGCCTTGGTGTAGTGCCTGGTGCGCCAGCAGCACGCACGCTTTGGTCAACTTGTTGTTCCTCCCCCTCCTGGCCTCCAGACGCTCCTGCTGCTCGGGCGTATTTTGGTTGGCGTTCTGGATGATCGATCTCGCCGTGCATGATGGCGAAATCATTACCCTGCGTGGCCGCTCCATCGATAGAGTCTCGATGGCACGTCTGAAACCCCTGTTCGTCGCGAGATCGTACTCGTTGTGCTTGCCAAGCCTCATCGCGCGGCCACCCGTCTTCTCGATTTCCTGGCCGAGAGCGGACCCTGGTGGCGCACAAACTTCCAGGATATCCAGACGTCCTTCGTGTATAAGCTCCTGTGCCTCGAATGCAGCTTGCTTCTCATACTCCATGACCCCCAGCCACTCTGCCCTCCTCATTGCAGTGCGGTTGGCTGCTTTGCCGCGTGCGTCCAGGAGGATCGCCCTCATGAAGGGCAGCGGATTTCAATAGAGGCGGAACGATTGGCTCGAACGTTCGGGCGGTCTCGTTGCGGGAGGAAGATGATCCATGACCCTCCCGAGGAGAGCATACATTGATCGAATCCACCTCCCATGAAGCATTGTTAATGCCAACAGTGCAAACGAAATGTGAAAGGTGATGAGGGACATTGGTTTACGATGGCAAGGATGTTGGGGTGCGCGTCGGGGTGTAGCAGGATGTGCGGGCCTGTGGAATGTGGCGAGCGCGCGGGGGAGCTCTGGCGACCATGAGGAAGAATGATTTCGCATGGGGGAGACGGGGCGGAAGTTGGGAACACCATGGGGAAGTTGGAAATAACACGGGAAAGTTGGGATGCACATGAGGAAGTTGGGGGGGGCGCGGGGGAAGTGCAAGGAAGTTGGGAAAGACATCGAAGAGTTCACATGCACAGCTGGGAAGGGGAGCCTGGTTTATGCGGAAATTTAAGCGCGGCGCGTGGATGATTGGCTGGATGACTTGGAAAGGCGATGCGGCCCAGGGGACGGTTTGGATGGCGCGGGCATTCGGCGAAAATGAAGTGGAGCGGGTTGGGGCTGGGGGCGATTTGCGCGGGGAACGTCTTGTGGATTGGATGTGCCCGATAAAAGGATTGAACTTGTAAAAGACACCATTTGCATAACACGGTTTCGTTGATCACGGGAGGTACGATGAGCTTGGAGGTTTTTTTTCAGCAAGTGGATGGCTTTTGGGGGAGCATGACAATTGATATCTTTTCGGGAACTTGTCCGTGACACCTTTTTGTGTTGTTGTTTTCATTATCTCTCTCTCTCTCTTTCTCACTTTCTCTTTCTCTCCCTGTCTCTCTCTCTCTGAGCCACTCGGCCAGACGCCCTAGCTGCGGGCCCCTGCGCTCCCCAGCTTCGTCCAGACGCGCCGTGCAGCTCCCTGTCCTTAGCCGCAAGGCCCCAAGGACCCCCCGTGGACCAGACGGGTACCCGACCTCCCACGGACGGGCCCCAGACCCCTCCGAGCTAGCCGGACGGGCCCCCGAACCCCCCAGCCTTAGCCGGACAGGCCCCCTGCAGGGCATTGTGTGTTGGGCCGGTTGACGTTGCTGGTATGTTGTGGTGCTCTTGGGCTCCGTGTGCCCCCGTGGCCCCAAATTCCGACGCGCGCCTCCGAGCGCCCTGAGCCACGCCCATTAGCACCACCCAGGCATGCTCCGACCAGCTCGATTTCAAAGTATCCCAGTATCCCTGCCGCCCTGGAGCAGCGAGGTTTGCGGATGCTTCGATGATCCTGGCGGGGTGTTGGGGGCATCGAAGAAACTCGTGGCCCTGTACATTGTATATTGGCGCGCGATGCGCGGGAGGCCCGGGGGCGCCCCCCTCTCAGGTTGAGATTTTCCCCCGCAAGCACTTTTTGCCCCCGACAAGCCTGCGGCGGTCACCCCAGCTTTGAACCGATGGCGTCCTCGGGCCGCAAGCGGGCTATGGCCCAGGGCCACCGCGGGCGCAGGGCGCTTGGGAGTGGTTGAAGGCTGCGGACTTTGGTAGGGCCTTTGCCAACTTCTTCACGTCGGCCCAACGTTCCTCACGGCCATCCAACTTCCCCCATGCCACTCCCGCTTCCCCCGTGTCAGTATCGCCCCTCTCAACGATCCAGACCTCGGTCGAAGTCCCCCACGTCCATCGAAGCTCCCCCTGTGACCGCCCAACTTCCGCATGCCCCCCGCGCCAATGCGCGAGCCCCCTCATGGCCCTCCAGACTCCTCCACTTCGAAACTCGCCAGATACTCGTATCGAAGTCGAGTCTCCTGTGAGGATGATATCATCAAAGCATACAGCTGCTTGCCATTCAGCTCCCTCGTGAAGCTGATCTCGCCACTCGCATCGCGGATCCGATCGGCCTCCCTTAGAGCTCCTTCGCCTCGCTCTCCGAGATCTCTTCGGCCAGGTGAGCCGGTTCTCCAGGCCGAAGATTTCGCCCGCCAGCTCCCTGACCTGGGTCCACTGGAACATCCTTTGCCGCCCGATTCTCTTGCGTTACCTTCTTGAGGTGTTTCGTGAGAGTCTCCTCTGCCGTGTTCCAGTCTGGGAACCTCCTCACGGTCTTCATCACCTCCTCAAGATTTGGGGTCTCCGATACTGTTTCGACCTCCTCTTCCTTCACCTCCTTCGGTGGTGGCGCCTTCCTCGCCTCTGGCTTCGGCCTCGGCGGCACACTTCTTCTCGGTGGCGACCGTGAGCTTGAACTCGCCCTCAAATTCCGTCTCATTCCCGTCGAAGCCTTAGGACTCGCTGGTGGTGTTTGGGGGATCTGTTCCTGCTTCTTCGTGGGATATCCCGTAGACTGCAGACCCGAGCTCGACGTCCGATCGAGGGTCTTCCGGCACTATGACTCTTGCCTCCGACGCAGCTGCAGCCTATTCTGCGTCTCCCAGGATCGCCGCAACACTTGCAACTGATGTTGCGGTATCCCTTGTGGTCGAGCTCCTCCTTGATCCTCAGCTTCAGCAGTGGCGGCTGATCCAGAGGTAGTTGTCCTTGACACTGGTGGCTTCTTCCTCCCATGCAGCTGCAGCCCGCGGTCGTCGTACCTGGAACTCCGCAGCAGCCGCCCCTCGCGCTTGAAGGAGTCGTCCTTGCAACCGAGGCCGTAGGCGGTGGTGAGGAGCCAGGCAAGCCTCGCCCATCCAATGATGGTATCTGATTATGGAAATCGCTAAGGATCTCGGCTCTGAGCCGGCGTCATATTTGAAGGATCGCCTTGAGCCCAAGATAGTTTTGGATCTGCACGAGACACGGGGGAATTGCCCGTGATGCCTTTCTTCCCTTCTGCATCAGGTACGAAATCTATCAAGAGTTGCCCGCACCCCGAACGTTCAAGCAAAAGCACCTGGTGACCGAGAGACTTGAGCGGGATGTTGCCAAGTTCGAAATCCACAATCACTCCAAAATGCTTCAAGAACTCCAGGACCCATGTGGTGGTCGGTGGTGGTGTGGTTGGTTTCTCCTCCCCCTCTCCTCTCTCTCCTCGTCTCCTCCCTTTGTCGACCCTCCGTGGTTTCATTCTTTCTAATCGTATCGCTATCCGTTTCCTCTTGCTCCGCCATTTTCTTTCATACAGGGGTTACAGGCAGACAGCACGAGTGCTGTTCTGCCATGCTGCCAGACTTTGGGGACACAGGCAGCAACAGCGCTGTTTAACTTAGGAGAAGTTCTGACCTGTGTAGCAGGGCTTCTATTTTTCCCAAATCATAGCTTGCCTCTGTAGGGGTCCTAGCGGATTCATTTGGTTAGGTTAGCTGTGGCGCCGATTTCGGTGGCACGCCCTTGTGCCCAGGTGCCCGGGTGCCCAGGTGCCCGGTAGCCTTATAGCCCTATAGCCCTATAGCCTTGTAGCCTTACAGCCCTATAGCCCTATAGCCCTATGGCCCGATAGCCCTAATAGCCCTAATGGCCCTAATTGCCCTATAGCCCTATAGCCCTTTAGCCCTATAGCCCTATAGCCCTATAGCCCTATAGTCCTAAAAAGATTATGATTGGTTTTTTTCTCCGGGGCGCGACGCGCGACGCGCTTTTCGGTCGCCACCCCTCGCACATCTCTCGACCCTGCTCGGGCCTTCGCTCGCTTGTGACCA